CACGACCAAACCGCCCATAAAAATAGTTTACGTTACAAAAATCGACAGGCAAAAGTTTAAAGATGACATAAGCATTAATTTGTTAAGTTAATTACGGGAGAATTAGTATAGATTACTGGGGAACCGGATACGGCCTTCTCCGCACTCATCCTTTTTACGAATGAGTCTTTCTCTGCTATAATGATTCCATTTCCTAAAGACTGTGACTGAACCCGAATTTGAGAAGACGGTGAATAAACTCCAGATGTTGAGGGTTGCTGTGCACTTGAAGGCTATAAAACAACGTAATAAAAATTGGACAAAAAACTTTGGAATGGCTTGAAACAAACGCTAATTAATCAGAAAATCTGAAATAATCTGCAATGAACGTTAGCACATACAGTAATACGAACAATACGAGTCTGCGGTTGTACATAAGAAGCCCGGCCACGCACTGCAGGAATGATACGACGCTGCTGAACTAAACCTAGAAAAAGTGGCAATAATTTCGAAAAACATTTCCAGTTTTAAGACCGTTTTTCAACTTCGCGTTAACATCCCGGTAATTCCCACTACAGCAACATCATTAAAGAAGTAAAGTTATAAAACAAGTTGAGCAATCGAAGAATACTTGCAGTCGCTTCCGTTGAGTTTTAAAGCTTTTCTTGAACAATTATTCTAATCAGAATTAAAGTAACTACGAAACTGTAAGGGAGCCCCGTCAAACAGAGAAAGGTCAAAAAAGATTTGACAAAACAAGAGATTCGCCAAAACACTTAAAAAGTTTGAAACCAATAAAGTGACATTCAATTTAGCTGAAAAATTGTAATGAAGCCAGCAAGTCTCTCATGAGGATGGCAAAAGTTCATCCTCAGTTGTTTCCATATAAGTGGTGCAGGTGAAAATCATCTCACGACTTTATTCAAATTATAAGTTTTCCGTTCGCGCAAAGTGCTAAGCGCCTCTTACTCTCATCATTCCCTGTAGTGCAACTACAATACGAAATTACTGGTATTGGAAAACACTCATCTGTCCACTACGAATACATTACCTGCATGGTCTACAAGGCTCCTACTGTTAAACTGCCGTGCCGCAAATACTGCACCACTAGGGACTACTCGATGCGCACCATTATTTAAATTCATTGTACCTCTTGCCTCACTCATAGTTGAGCCTCCAACCTGGAATGAAATCTTAATGAAACGCGATATACAGTGGCTGGTAGAAATAATACGACCGATGGAGCTATTACGCAACTATTAATTTTTGAATGTCTATAACTATCATGTTTTGGTGGAAACAGCGGTTAAAAAAAGAAAATTCACTATTTCGAAGATATTAGCAGATTTACGCCCGTGCATATAAGCATTCATAATCCGGTCTAAGCAGATACCCAAGATTAATCAAAAAGCAAGAAAAGAGAGGAACTATGACAATCCAACAAGGCAACGGTGTCACTGTTGATCAAAGCAAATCAGACATCTGAGTGATGTAAATATTTAAAGTACATTTCAAAGTCGGCTAAACTAAGAAATATCTGAACAATAAGGAAGAAAATGTATCGTTCGAGTTCCCACAATATGCCTTAAGTGGAATGGCGTTAATTTCTTGAAAACATCGTGAACAAAATTTGAAGTTCGCGAAATCCTACGGTAGTCAAGAATTAGTGGTAGAGAGTAGCACCCAGGAACGAGCCTAAGTTTAATCAAAAAGAACTGACGCCACGTTATCATGGAGAATTAAGACTTATTTGTAGAGAATAGACCTTTGAAAACGAAGTTAATTTGAAGTACCACAAGTTTCAACGGCTCAAGATTTTGTTTCTGAAATTAAAATTATCCTGAGATCCTAATAGTACTTCAAGATATTTAACGATATCCTTCTCCTTTACACAAAAAATTATCACTGTAATCGACTTCTCGAAAAGATAGTAAAGAAATGCATCCTGTCTCATCAAAGACTTATGGCAAATAAAGAAAATCAAAGCGATTAAATGACCAGCTTATAAAAAAATAAACCTATTCTTACAAATTTTTTGCACAATAACGGCC